CTCACTGAATTTGCTTATTGGTTCTGATTTATTAGTGAGTTCTATAGAATTCTCCATATATAAGGTCATGTAATCTGAATGGAGGTAGTTTCAGTTTTTCCTATCTAATTTCTTTTTTCTGATAGATTTCCCTGGCTGGAATCTTTAGTGTAATGTTGAATTGAAGTTATGAATGAACATCTTGTCCTGTTCCGGGTTGTAGGAGGAAAGCATGTATTCTTTCACCATTAGGAGTATTGTCCATTATGTATATTTTATTTTTATAGATGGTCTGTATTCTGTTGAGGAAGTTCTTTTTTAATCCATTTGTAGTACATTTTTATATGTTGTTAAATACTTTTACTGTGTTTAGATAACATGTGGCTTTTGTCTTTATTAATGTATGTTAAATTAATTGATTATTATTTATGAAACCTGCCTTCTATTCCTGGGAAAATCACACTTGACCATAATAATTCTTTTTATATATTGCTGATTGTGGTTTGCCAGTATTTTGTTGAAGATTTTTGTGTGTATTCCTAAAAGATATTGATGATTCTATGCTTAAGAATTTCTTTTAGATGGTTCTTTAAGCAAGCATATATCTGTTATAAGAATTAAACAAAACGGTATACAAAAGGCCCTAGCACAGAGCCCAGTGCAGTAGTGGTGGATACCTTTTGTGAACTATTCTTTGGTTGGAGGTCACTGGATGTCATGATTGAGAGCATAGTTTCTTGAGTTGGACAGACATGGAGTTGAACCCTGGCTTCCTCTTCCTTCTTGTTAGCTGTGTGACTTTGGGCACATAGGTAGATATACTAAATTGTTTCATAATAGTACTTCATTCTTAGGATCGTTGGAAGGATTTAATAAGAAGATACAAAACCAAATACAAGGTGTAGTATGCACTTAGGTGCTACACGTGTATTAATTCTTGTTACTGGTAAATGGACTAAATGCAGTAATATTATGAAGGGGAGAAATTAGAAATATTGAACTACCCATCAGTAGGTGATTGGTTTAATATAGCATGTGTGAGTGCTCTTTAAAATGTATTAAACCGGGCCGGCGCCGTGGCTCAATAGGCTAATCCTCTACCTTGCGGCGCCGGCACACCGGGTTCTAGTCCCGGTCGGGGCGCCGGATTCTGTCCCGGTTGCCCCTCTTCCAGGCCAGCTCTCTGCTATGGCCAGGGAGTGCAGTGGAGGATGGCCCAGGTGCTTGGGCCCTGCACCCCATGGGAGACCAGGAAAAGCACCTGGCTCCTGGCTCCTGCCATCGGATCAGCGTGGTGCGCCGGCTGCAGCGGCGGCCATTGGAGGGTGAACCAACGGCAAAGGAAGACCTTTCTCTCTCTGTCTCTCTCTCTGTCCACTCTGCCTGTCAAAAATAAAAAAAAAAAAAAATGTATTAAACCAATGTTGACATAGAAAAATATTTACTAAATGTTAGTAGTGGGCAAAGCAGTTTTGTGTACATGTGTATATAATTGATGTTTATAAATGCAAAAAGTCTAGAACTGTATGTAAATTATTCACAATTTAATTTGGGGAATTTTGATTATTTATAATAGTACTTTAATATTGAAGTACTTCAGTAGTACTTCAACTTAATCTTAAAGTAGGCATATGTGAAGAGAGATCAAATTATGAGAAATTCATATTATCTTTCAGTTATATTTTCCCATGAACTTTTTAAAGCTGTCCTCATGGTTTGTCAAGAAAAAAAGAATAAACATATTTCTGTCTTGGAGGAGAAGCAGGAAGCTTAAAAAAATTTAGGGTTATAATTGTCCTACTTTCTTAATTTGCCCTGTTATTTTCATAGCCTTGTTAGATTTTATCATCTAATGAAGCCTTACACATTTTTATAAAGTAATAAAAACTTCTAAAAACAATCTGTGAAAAACGATTGCCTCCATTCATATATTTTGCTTTCCTTCCTGTGGATTGCCATATTCATTATTGAATACCTGCGTTGCCCCAGGCTGTGTTCTAGGTGTTGGAAATACCAAAAAGAATGCATAGTGCATTGTACTCTGGTGTCCAAGAAACAGAACAGACCTGTGAAGACCTGACTGCAGGGTGAGATGGAATAAATGGCGAAGAAGGCCACAGTCAGCTCTTCCTGGACAGAGATGGGCAGGCTCTCAGAGAGGAGCTAACAGTATACTCCTGATTTCAGGACTGCAGAGTGGTATGTCAGACCAAGACAGATGACTTGCAGACAGCAGAAACAGCCTTTGCAAGTGCTTGCAACTATGCAAGATCTAAAAGAAGAAATGTATGGATATTTATGATGTACAGCTAGCCTTTGGGTTTGTTAGCCTTTCCCTGTGCAGCCTCCTTTCGGGATTGCTGCTGTATTCTAGTTACGAGGCTGCCATGTTTCCCACAACCTTGGAGGAAAGTTAAAGTAATGGGGTGAGTGAATTGGAAAGCCTGGCAGGAATAGTGGCTTCCACAAAATGACCCTGGTGCAGCGAAGCAGAAAGATAGTTGCGTTTGCTGTAGGAAAGGAGGCACTCCTTTCAGTGGTCTCCCACCAGACACAGCCTACCTAAGGAACAGGGAAAAAACAGGTTGCGGGCTAGGTCCCAGCTCCCACAGAAGATGGGCAATAAGCAGACCTTTCTTAGTTTCTGTGATGTTTGTTGGTCCTCAATAGGTGAGTATTAACATTTTCCAAACAGACTTAATGACCCAAAGCTTGTAATTCCAAGTTCCAGACACCAGACCTGAGTCTTTTGACTTAGGTCTGCCACCCCTATACCCTAACCCATAGTCACAGTTGTGTACAGTGGTCTTTCTAGGATTTTTGACCCATAGCATCTGTTGTGGCTTATTGTTTTTTTTTTATTGTACTCTGCCCAGTTTGGCTAAAGTTTGGTTCTGAGCCACTGGGGCTCTGCTAAGGCTTCTCCAGGGAATTGGGTATTTGGGTCAGTGGAGGCTGCTGAAGGGGTGAATCTGACCATGCAGGGTCTGCCCAGGCCATTTTCCAGCCTCGCTACAGCATCTGGAGCACAATGTAGACATGTTCAGTTTTAGAAGTCTGGTTTGGGGGCTGGTGCTATGGCGTAGCAGCTAAAAGCTGCTGCCTGCAGTGCTGGCATCCCATGTGGGCGCCAGTTCGAGACCTGGCTGCTCCACATCTGATCCAGCTCTCTGCTATGGCCTGGGAAAGCAGTTAGAAGATGACCCAAATCCTTGGGCCTCTGCACCCACGTGGGAGACCTGGAAGAAGCTCCTGGCTCCTGGCTTCAGATTGGTACAGCTCCAGCCGTTGTGGCCAATTGGGGAGTGAACTAGCCGATGGAAGACCTCTCTCTCTCTCTCTCTGCCTCTCCTCCTCTCTGTGTGTAACTCTGACTTGCAAATAAATAAATAAATCTGAAAAAAAAAAAAAAGAAGAAGAATATGGGCCAGGTCCTTTGGCCCCTGAACCCATGTGGGAGACCCAGAAGAAGCTCCTGGCTTCAGATCAGCCCCTCTGTGGCCATTGTGGCCATTTGGGGAGTGAACCAGCAGATGGAAGACCTCTCTCTGCCTCTGCCTCTCTGTAACTCTGCTTTTCAAATAAATAAAATTAATTAAAAATCAAAAAAAAGAAGTCTGGTTTGCTTTAAAGTCAGTGGGTAACTGTGTTTGTACTCTGCCCGTTCTGGTTCTTTTTTTCTCCAAGAATTCTGTCTTCGTGTTTTAGAATCTCTTTTGCATCAGTAGTGCTTTGTGGCGTGCTTTTTTGCTGCTATTTCCCCCTTTTCTGTGTCTATTAAACCAAGTCGCCAGGAGTAGGGTTCTTGGAAGTTGGATAAAAATTACAGTATCCCTCTGTAGAAAATTCATGAGTCATTTTGAATTGTCTTTATCTGGTGCTGGAAAAGCAGAGATGGAGTAGAGGTGCTGGTGGCTGGGTATTGCTGGCTCCGATTAGCTTATAGTAGGTTTCTATCCAGATGGTCTACCGAGAGACATGGCCCACAAGTGGCAGCCTGTGCAGTTTGGCTAAAGATACAAGTTAGTTATTTCCTTGGGCTCAGTGGGGAACATAACCTTCGTAAAGATAATTTTCTGTACAACATGTTGTATGTGAAAATCTAAAAAAATTATATAATGGTACAAGCTTATTTTCAGGGTGGGCATTTGGCTTAGCAGTTAGGTCACCAATTTGAATGCCATAATGCTGTCCCCTTATAAATATGTTGATTTTTACCAACCCACAAATCTTTTTCCTTCTTTAATTTTCAGTATACCTTGCAGAATACTGGTTGGATTCACTGCTATTTAAAAAACTTAAAAGTTAACAAACTTATAAAAATAATTCAACTTTGCTGAAAGAAACATGTGACAAGAAGCATTTTTTCCACCTCTGACATTGATTACAATTTAAAGACGATAATATTCAGTGATGGCAAGTTGTGACAGGCTGGGCATTCCTTTGAACTCCTGGGAGGGAAAATATACCTTTATATGATTTTTCTGAAAATAAGTTTGGCCACATACATTGAGCACTTTCATGCTCTTTGGCCTGGTAATATTGCTACTAGATTTTTTTTTTCATCTTAAAATTCAGACAGAAATGCATTTGGAAGCATTTTTGTTGTACTATTATTTCTAATGGTAGGGTACTATGTCTAGTAAGAGTGTTTCTGCTGTTGCATTTTCCAATTCAAAAATACTATCTTACTATTAAAATGGTGTTTATGACAAATATATCATCATAAAGGAAAAGTTGGCATTTAAAGTAAATAGTGTTCCTAATTATATATATATATATATTCTCATCTCAGCTGTTATATTGAAATGCACTATAAAAAATGGTCAGAGATAGTCCAAAATAGTGAAGTGACTGATTTTGAGTGGTGGTTTTATGAGAGATGGTTCTCTTTTTTATATTTTCTGTTTTCCCACATTGGAGTGGGAGGACATCCAAGTGATCTGTAAGGCCAGCTGATATTTTATGTTCAGCTGACAAATGGATCGTTTTTAACACTGATTTATGTGCTTACTGTTCAGATAAGAACTTTGATGATGAAGATTCTGTGGATGGCAACAGGCCTTCCTCTGCCAGTTCTACATCGTCCAAGGCTCCACCAAGCTCCCGGAGAAACGTTGGGATGGGTCCCACCCGCAGGCTGGGGTCATCCACCCTGGGATCCAAGTCATCAGGTGAGTGAGACCAGGCCCTGTGGTGCTTGCCTGTGGTGTCCCTCAGAAGTAATGCAAGCCCCATGTGTAGCGCATTCCTGCCTGCTTTTCTTTAATTGTGTTGGTACTGCATCTGCTGATAAACCAGGGTGTACGTCTGAGCTGCTGTGTTAACTTTGCTGCCTTTCGGTAAAGCAGAGGCTGTAGTAGAATGGAGCTACACAGTGGAAAGAATAGCTCTGAGATACAGAACAAGCATACCCCAATGGAACTATTTGATTGCCTGGATCCAGCGATGCTTGGAACTGTCATAGGGCTTTTTGAGGCTGTTTATTAAGACAACATCCTGAAGTCACATTGTACTTCTGTCTTTAAAATATGTTTTTTCTTACAAATAGTATTTTTCTTGTGAGACCAGTGTGGATGTTGGGTTAAATAGATGGTAAGAGGTTAGTTCTCTGAAGCTTTGAAAATTGATTTACAAGGATTTCTTCCATAAATCCCTCCTGTCCCACCCCGTCTGGACAGCTTAACTTGTGATTGTACAGGATTCTTGTTTTGCTGTTGAGCTTTACACTGACATGCATATTTCCTACTTTTTAACCTCTGGTTCTAGAACTGTGCTAACTGATAACATTGGACTTTTAAACTAGTATCGGTGGGGGTCAGGAAGTGGGAGGTCCTGGACCTTGAGCCCCAAATGTCAAAGCTTGATGAGCTATTTAAAATTGGAAGAAGATTAGAGTCAGATCAGATGCTGTTTCTGGGTGGTCTTGGCTGGATTTGGAACTGGCCCTAGGCAGGTGATATCTTGACCAGGTTAGCAGATATCATGTGTCCCCTTGCCTCCTCCATGTCAGCATCTTTGTGGTGGAGGAGCTGTGCCCAAGGGCAGGGAGTAATGTCACCTTCATATCAAGGATAGCAGAAGGGGAAGTGTTGCTCTATTTCTTGTGTTTGTTATTATTTTCCTTAGTTCTTTATGCTATTTTTTTGGTGCATTAAAGTTTTTTTTGCTATTGAGTTTAAAAATTCTTATAATACAAAATTAGCCATTTTTTAAACTTTTATTTAGTAAATATAGATTTCCAAAGTACAGTTTATGGATTACAATGGCTTTCCTCCCCTATAACTTCCCTCCCATTCGCACCCCTCCCATCTCCTGCTCCCTCTCCCATTCCATTCACATCAAGATTCATTTTCAATTATCTTTATATACAGAAGATCGATTTAGTATATATTAAGTAAAGATTTCATCAGTTTGCACCCACACAGAAACACAAAGTATAAAATACTGTTTCAGTACTAGTTATAGCATTACTTCACATTGGACAACACATTAAGGACAGATCCCACATGAGGAGTAAGTACACAGTGACTCCTGTTGTTGACTTAACAATTTGACACTCTTGTTTATGGCGTCAGTAGTCTCCCTTGGCTCTAGTCATGAGTTGCCAAGGCTATGGAAGCCTTTTGAGTTCACCGACTTCGATCTTATTCCGACAGGGTCATAGTCAAAGTGGAAGTTCTCTCCTCCCTTCAGAGAAAGGTACCTCCTTCTTTGATGGCCCATTCTTTCCACTGGGATCTCACTCACAGACATCTTTCATTTAGTTTTTTTTTTTTTTTTTTTTCCAGAGTGTCTTGGCTTTCCATGCCTAAAATACTCTCATGGGCTCTTGAGCCAGATCCGAATGCCTTAAGGGCTGATTCTGAGGCCAGAGTGCTGTTTAGGACATCTGCCATTCTATGGGTCTGCTGTGTATCCCGCTTCCATGTTGGATAGTTCTCTCCTTCTTAATTCTATCAGTTAGTATTAGCAGACACTAGTCTTGTTTGTGTGATCCCTTTGACTCTTAGACCTATCAGTGTGATCAATTGTGAACAGAAATTGATCATTTGGACTAGTGAGATGGCATTGGTACATGCAACCTTGATGGGGGAATATTTTTTTCACTGTTTCATTTGTCCTGTAGCATGTGTCAGTACTTTGTTCCTTTCCATGGTTGGACAGTCTTTATAATCTTTCTTTTTGATCTGTTTTGGATGATATTAGTTCCACAAAACTTGCTTCAAGCATTTCTGTGATCAGAACACTTTTTCTTCCCATCACAACCCCACACCTCTGCCAGAAGCCCCACTGGGTCCATTATGCCAAGAAGGCGGTCCTACTTTCATCCTCTTCCCATTTGGTTAATACCATAATCATGAATTTTCTGGTTAAGTTGTCCTTGGTGCGTGGTCCCCTCAGGACCTGTCTGCTCAGTGGGCACCATTCCTTGTGCTGAAGCAGACCAGCACTACCTCACAGTCTGTGGCCACTGTTTGTTGATGTTGGCTTGTCAACTAGTGTGAGTGATCTCCCCCTGGAGTGGTAAGATATATGTATCACCACCTAAGTCGTCTGTGAAGGCTTTTTCTAAGTGGCCCATCTGGACCCCAAACACCTATTGCGTATCTGGTAAGAAGTCCTTGGGAAAGCCTTCAGGGCGGATGTTTGGCTCCACCTTTATCACATGTAGGAGTGCCTGGTTCAAGTTCTAGCTCCACTTCTGATCCAGTTTTCTGCTAATGTACATGCTGGGACACAGTAGGTAATGACTCAGATACTAGGGTTCTTGCTATCTAGGGGAGACCTGGATTGAGTTCCAGGCTCCTGGCTTTGGCCTGGCCCAGCTCTGGCTGTTACAGGCATTTGGGAAGTGAACCAGTAGATGGAAGACCTCCCCTTCTTGCCCCTACTGGCCTTTCAAGTGAAGTGAAAGCAAATAAATGAGAAAACTTTCTGAAAGTGTGGTCAGTTAAATCACTAGTGGAGGTTATGAGGAAGATCAGAGACACCAATTCTGAAAATGTTACATTAAAAAAAATAATATAGCATTACCTGATTTTCACATGTGGAATGGAGTTGATATTAACAAAAAGAAAATAGCTTTCCCCTAATGACATCAGTTAACCTTTTACAGAGAAAGTGAAGGAGACACAGAGAGATCTTCCATCTCCAAATGGCTGCCATAACTAGGGCTGGGCCATGCTGAAACCAGGAGCCTGGAACTCCATCTGGGTTTCCCAGGCAGGTGGCAGGGGCCCAAGTATTTGGACCATCTCTGCTGCTTTCCCAGGTACATTAGCAGGGAGCTGGACCAACCAGGACTCGAACAAGTGCTAATATGGGATGCTGGCATTACAGGTGGCAGCTTAACCCACTGCACCACGGCACCAGCCCCAACAGTTAACTTTTAAGCATACATCTTAGAACAGCATTAGGAGACACTTAAACTGATGCTTATCTGAAAAATTGACATCATTATCATGAGTTCAAGGAAATGAAATGTTTTAAGACTAACATGAAGTTGAAATGAAATTTAAATCCTTTTAGAATTTATTTAAGTACTTCAAATTTATTATGCTGGATATCTCATAATAATAATTAATGTATTTCCTGAAGAATTAAAATTTTCTGTTTATTAGGAACCTTTCAAAAGGTTTATACATTAATACAGTATACATTATCTAAATCCTTTAAACCCAGACTGTCTCTGATTAAACAAGTAGTCTCTTTAAGTGGCCTTATGCTATTTGTGGTTTATATGGTGTTGTAGAGTTGCTGTGCTTCATCATCTTTTTTTAGTTTTCATTAATTTATATTTATTTGAAAGGTAGAGTGATAGAGAGTCAAGGATCTTCCATCTACTGATTCACTGTCCAAATGCTCTCAAGAGTTAGGGCTGGCTGAGGCTGAAGCCAGGAACTTGCCAGGGACCCATGTACTGAGCCATCATCTGCTGCTTTCCAGGATGCACATTAGTGGAAGTTTGATCCAAAGTGGAGGCAGGACTCCATCCTAGCCACTCTGATATGGGATGCAGGTTTCCCAAGCAGCAGCTTAACCTGCAGCACCACAGTGCCCATCCATGTGCTTCATCTTATAATGTTTGTCTGTTCCACAGTACTCTAAATTTATATAAAATCTTTTTAAAAAAGATTTCTGAATCTTCCAAACTGTAATTTTGTTTATGTGCATTCAGATTTCTACAGTGTATGTTATAACCATTATCTACATTTTAAAAATTTGTATTTTTACAGCTGCAAAAGAAGGTGCAGGTGCTGTTGATGAAGAGGACTTTATTAAAGCATTTGATGATGTACCTGTTGTGCAGGTGAGCAAGAATTAACAAGAAGGATAGAATTAGTTTTCATTTTCCCTTTTCAGATCAGCCCCTTGTAGAGTTCTATCCCAGGTCAGGTAATTTTAACTATCAAGTCCACATGAGAGCTGAAGTGCAGAGTGGAAAATGCCGGATAGTTTTATAACTGAGCAAAAGTCAAGGTGGAAGGTGATCTTTCAGTGAGAAGAAGAAAGAAGTTGATTGCTTTAGTTTACAGGGCAGATCACCTAAAAGAGAAATATATGATTAGGTTAAGTGGGGAAAGAAAGAAGCTTGCTTATTTGGGGTTTTTGTTAGAAAAAATCATAAATTTGAAGGATTTTGTCTGAAAAACTTTAGAAAGTGCTTTAGTAAAAGCTCAGGTCATACTATCTTTGATGTCTCACTTACGTACTTAAAATAAAGCAAATATTATTTATAAAAGTTGGGAAAATGTCATACTTTTTTTCATAATATTTTAAAATGAATTCATATTTGTTTATTTGAAACTCCCCATATGCCCACAACAGCCATGGCTGGGCCAGAGCAAAGCCAAGAGCCTGGAACTCTGTCCGGGTCTCTCGTGACTGTAACAGGGGCCTGAGCACTTGGACCATCATCTGCTGCCTTTCCAAGGCACACTAGCAGAAAGGTGGATCAGAAGCAGAATAGCTGGAACTTGAACCAGCACTCTGATATGGGATGCAGATCTCCCAAGTGATGGCTTCACCTAGTGTACACCAGTGCCTGCCCCCAGTCATACATTTTTGGCAGCTTTGTTCCTCAAGTTCCCCCCCCCCCTTTATTATTTATTTGAAAGTCAGTTACAGAGGGATAGAGACAGAGAGAGAAAGAGAGATTTCCCATTCTCTGGTTCACTCCCCAGATGCTGCATCAGCCAGGGCTGAGCCAAGCTGAAGCCAGGAACCAGGGGATTCATCTGGGTCTCCCATGTGGGTGACAGAGACCCAAACACTTGTAATCTTCCACTGCTTTTCCCAGGCCATTAGCAGGGAGCTGGATCAAAAGTGACACAGCTAGCAAACAAACTGGCGCCCACATGGAAAACTGGTGTTGCAGGCTGTGGCTTTACCTGCTGTGCCACAACACTGCCCCTCCTCAGATTTCCTGTTGCAAATGAGGGCTGATACTTTTTTTCTTCCTCCATTGGCTGTCTGTGCTCCATGTACCTGTTGCATTCACAGTGATAAGACAGTTATCCTTGCCACCATGGTTGCCATGTGTGTAGATCAGATGACAGGCATTCTTGGCTCAAGTTCATCTTTTTTTTTTTTTTTTTTTAAGATTTTATTTATTTATTTGACAGGTAGAGTGGCAGACAGTGAGAGAGAGAGACCGAAAGGTCTTCCTTCCGTTGGTTCACTCCCCAAATGGCTGCAATGGCCAGAGCTGCGCTGATCCGAAGCCAGGAGCCAGGTGCTTCTTCCTGGTCTCCCATGTGGGTGCAGGGGCCCAAGCACCTGAGACATCCTCCACTGCTTTCCCAAGCCACAGCAGAGAGCTGAGCTGGAAGAGGAGCAGCCGGGACTAGAACCGGCACCCAGATAGGATGCTGGCACCGTAGGCAAAGGATTAACCTAGTGCACCACGGTGCCGGCCCTGGCCCAAGTTCATCTTTAAGGACTTGACCTTCCCAGCATGCATTTTTTTGATTGATTATACCCTACATGTCTTATAAGACTGGGGATAAGTGAGAAAGTAGATTGGAAGGTGCTCCACATTATGTTTGTAGTGTGATGTAATAAATAATACAGAGTCATAAGTAACTTAGGCATTGTAGACTGTTTCACAGTAGGTTTCTCTTCTGCACATGAAATCATCTTATTCAATCTATAGCAGGACTATGTTTAAGGCAAGGTTTTCCCCACTCAGCAGCACCTCTAGTAAGTTTGTATTCACAACAGGAAAGAAGCTCATTCTCACAAACCTGTTTAGACGTTTTCTCATAGGTATTAAAGGTGAAAACATTTCCTTTTACTGTACTTACTAGATGTCCTTGACTCCATGTAATTAAGAAATAATCTTTGTTTATTCTGCACATTTTCTAATAGAAATTGTAATTTAATTTTGCTTACAGATTTATTCCAGCCGAGACCTTGAGGAATCCATAAACAAAATTAGGGAAATCTTATCTGATGACAAGCATGACTGGGAGCAGAGAGTAAATGCTGTAAGCCACTGACCTCATGTGATTGGATTCTAGATTTACCAATATTCCAAACACTCGATTATAAATAGGAGGATGTCACCAATGAATTTTAAGTAGTAGATTTTTTAAAACGTAAATTACTGTATTTGCGTGTTGCTTTTTAAACAAAGACCTGACTGGAATATCTGGTGACAGCCTCTGCTCTCACCTTAATACAGATTTAATTCTGATTGTTTGCCAGTGAAGTACCTTTTTAATGGCATTTTCATTGTATGCTTGTAAATATTCTTTTCTTTCTTCATATCAACTTGCTGGAGAGTTTTGTCTATTTTTATAAGTGGATGAATGAAAACAGGCGGGCTGAACATTAAATTAGGGGTGGATTGTCTAAGGAAAGCTGTGTTATGTGGGTGATAGGCAAGAAGAGGGGTGGTCACATTGCTGCTGTGTTCTACTTAAATTCAGACAAGCTTGTTAATAGTGATGCAGGGGAAGATGCTATGGAGATACTGTCAGAATGCTTCTTCTTTGATTCATTACATAAATGACAATTGGGGTTGGACGAGGGAGTAAATGAGGTTGGGGGCGTTTATTAAAGTGAAATGAAGATTTTTGGTTATTTGTCCTTAGTATCCTAGAGTCTATAAATAGTAAGACATATCTAATTATAGAATACATCTTGTAAAAATTATATTTATCACCAATACTATCTTCTAAAAATTATTTGGTCTTGTAATTTTATAGATTTGTGCAGTCTATTAGCTAATATTTAACTGGATGAATTCTCTTGGGAAAGCTTTTTCTCTGTCAGTTGAAATTTAATGTTGATCACTTACATTTGATGGTGACTATTTGTGTATATCATGTTAAGAATTGTCTTTATATCTCCAATTTTCTCTATCTCCTCAGTTAAAAAAGATTAGATCTTTACTTTTGGCTGGTGCTGCCGAGTATGATAACTTCTTTCAACATTTACGTCTTTTGGACGGAGCCTTTAAACTCTCTGCTAAGGATCTGCGGTCTCAGGTAGTGCGGGAGGCTTGTATCACGTTGGGGTAAGAACTGCCATGCTTCACAATCTCACACATCATAGATAGTCTCACCCCAGAGCTTCAGAGATGGCCCCTGAACATGTTAGGTAGTCTCAAAGTCCCAGTCCAGTTAACACTGTGCCCAAAATTATAAAGAATGACTGATTTTAAACTTTATTTTATTCAGTGGCATAGATCTGAAGCCTCTATTTGAAACTTGAAGAAGTTATTAATATGGAAAAATGAAATTATATAAAATAGTTTTTCACATTTTAAATTGTTTTTCACTGGCTGGATATAGTATGATTATCAGACTGTGTGTTCCTAGAAGAATACTATAGCTATTGAAGTTAATGGCATGTCCCACAGTAACATTTTATCCTAGCTCAACCTGTGTTGTTGATCAAAGCTGTACCCTGTGTTAGAATGTGTGTCAGATATCAAAGCAGCAGCGGCAAGAAAGCAGTGCAGCTATTTACGGTTTGGGCTGAAATCAGATAGTGAACATGAATGTTTGATGTTAAAAATGAAAAGACAGAGCAAGGGAGGCTTTTCCTATGTATGTTTTATTAGTATGTGATCAAATTGGTTTTTTTTGTTTGTTTGTTTTCGCTATTTTAAGACTGGTTGGACATAATTAAGGAAAAACTTGAACTAATGGCTATTTGCCAAATTTTCTGCATGCCAATTAAATATATTTTTAAAGTGTTGAATGTAGACTCTTGTTGTATGTAGATAACCCTAAGTAGAGCTCTAAGTGTTTGAGGTATATATGCTTCACTGTAACATCACTGTAACTACAGCCCAGCATTCATTCCTTTTTGCAGGCATCTGTCATCAGTTCTGGGGAATAAGTTTGACCATGGAGCTGAAGCCATTATGCCAACCATCTTTAATTTAATCCCAAACAGTGCCAAAATTATGGCCACTTCTGGTGTTGTAGCTGTTAGGTTAATCATTCGGGTAAGTATGTTGTAGGGCCTACATAAAATAAGCAACTGGTAAATGTTAATGGTTGACAAGAAACAGTAGCGACATTTTTCACTAGAGCAATTATACAGAATGGGAATCATGTTATACTTACTGTATTATCCATTTTCTTCATTTAATTACAGTATAAGAGCCTTTTACAGTCTGTAATGTAAAATGTGGTATGGTGTGTAGTCACTGAAATGTTGATTGGTGAATTGCCATTGGTTAATAATTAATTTGAGAGGCAGACAGAGATTAAGACAGAAAGCAAGAGAGAGAGAGAAAGAGCTCCTGTCTACTTATTGATGCCCCAAATGCCTGCAGTGGCCCAGGTTGGGGACTGACCAAGAACTCATCTGAGATCTCCTACACAGATGACAGGGACCCAGTTACTCGGACTATCACCACTGCTTCTCAGAGTCTGTGTTAGCAGGAAGCTGGACTCAGTAGTGGAGTCGGAAATCTAACCCAGATACTCTTGTGTGGGACATTGGCATCTTAACAAGTAGGCCAGATGCTCACTGTTGGTTTTAAATGTTTGAACCTCTGCCTCTGAGTTAATGTTCTGCTCTTGTCTCTCTAGTGTTACTGCCATACCTCCCTCCTAATTCCAGTCTTTCCATTTTAGGAATTCGTGCTTGTAGTTTTACATACACACAGAGCTTTCACTAATTGCACGTGATCCCAGAAATAAAATGTTGGCTTTAGTTAAGTTTTCCTAACTTATTTAAATTGAAATAATTATCCAAGTAATTTATGTACAAGGTTTCATTAAAACGTGATAGTTCATAAGACTTTAAGAATGAATGTTTTGGCCAGCGGCGCGGCTCACTAGGCTAATCCTCCACCTTGCGGCGCGGGCACACCGGGTTCTAGTCCTGGTCGGGGTGCCGGATTCTGTCCCGGTTGCCCCTCTTCCAGGCCAGCTCTCTGCTATAGCCCGGGAGTGTAGTGGAGGATGGCCCAAGTCCTTGGGGCCTGCACCCCATGGGAGACCAGGATAAGTACCTGGCTCCTGCCATTGGATCAGCGCGGTGCGCCGGCCGCAGCACGCCGGCTGCGGCGGCCATTGGAGGGTGAACCAACGGCAAAGGAAGACCTTTCTCTCTGTCTCTCTCTCTCTTACTGTCCACCCTGCCTGTCAAATAAATAAATAAATAAAAATAATAAAAAAAGAATGAATGTTTTCTACATTACCTCCTCCATACTGTCGAGTGCTTTTTTCCACAGACACTTGATGATGTTGACTAAAATGTAAAAATCCATCTTTCTAATTACTTTGTATAATTTTTGTTCTTACTATTCTTTCATTGCCTACCTCAAATAGTTAGACCCAGAGCTGTTATTGGACATTCCTGTTTAACATTATCAAAACATATTGGTCTGATGACTGCTTGTACCATCATGTTTTCATAATGGCCTTTACAATATCCAGTGAAATCCTTTTTCCTTTTTAAAAGCCAGTGACTTTCTAATCTAAACACATACTGAGATAAGTAGGTTAGTAAGGAAGTCATTCTCTTAGCTTTGTTTTGGTTTTTGCAATTATTCACCTCAAATATTTTTGTTTTTGCAAATATTCAAAAATACTTTTTATTCTTCTCCACAGCATACACATATCCCTAGGCTAATACCTGTCATAACAAGCAACTGTACCTCCAAGTCTGTTGCAGTCAGAAGGTAAATTTCTAATGAGCTTCCTCATTACTTTTGAATTGTTTACAAAGCAAAACAAACTCCAGATCTCCCTCCATGGATAAAATTTCATACTTTTATTGAAAGGTGTATAACTATGTAATATCACTGCAATCAATGCCTCTGGGTTGAGGGGTCAAGATCTCAATATTTTGGAAAATGAATTTGAACAGCTTCTTCTGTGTTTATATTTATATGTATGTTTGTACATATGCATGAGCTTGGGAGGAAGGTGGCTGAGGGAGAAGGGGAGAGGACCATGTATACTTTTCTAGAAGTTCCCCTTCTCTGTGTCATTTGTCTACCCCATTTCCTGACTGAAGATGGTGACTTCATGCGAGAAACAATACCACAAATATCCATGGTAGTAATTCCATATTAATGATATTAATGTAGTGGGAGGAGAGATGTTGTTTGTGTCTTCTGAAAGTGATTTCTGGGGTTCTGAACCCCGACCTGTCATCCATTGCTGCTGTGCAGTTACAGGAGACACACCTGTAAGATACTTCAGGAAGGTACAACCTGGGTAACTAGCTCAGACTTTGTTCTCAAGTCCCTGTGTTGTGTGTCCTGCTAAGTTGCTGGACTACATGTGAGAAATCGAGACTGTCCTTTTAGCTCAGATCTGCAATTCTTGACTATTGTGTCATAGGGTCTTTTAAGAGTCTTAAAATCTGTGGACCCTCTTTCCAGCAAAATGTAAATGCATAGAATAGTTTTTGTGTAGGTTTCCAGAGAATTCATGGACCCCACTAAAACCTCTCAATGGGAGCTTTGTAGGGCAAGTTAATGGCAAGCCTGGGCCATGTGGGTGCAGGGACCTAAACACTTTGCCCATCTCCACTACTTTCCAGGGCACATTAGCAGGGAGCTGGATCAGAAGTGGACAGCTGGGTCTCCATCTGGTGCCCATATGGGATGCTGGCATCTCAGGTGGCAACTTAACCCATTGTGCCACAATGCCAGCCCCAGAATTTTCTTCTTTTTGAAGTCTGGCTAGTAATTCTATTTGTGTGTGTGTGTGTGTCTGTGTTGCATTTTCCTTCATCCATTGATACATACTTAGGTTGTTTCCATAGTTTAGCTGTTGTGAATAATGCTACAATGAACATGGGCAGGCACATGCCTCTATCTACTGATTATATTTCCTGTGGATACATTTATACTCAGCAATTGGATTCCTATCCATCATATTAACAGTAACATGAGAGGCAAGAGAGAGAAGATATGTATAATGCAAATGTCTGAAGTCATAAAAACAGAATTTATTCCTTCCGCTGAAAATATTTAATTTCTAACTGCATGGCTCAATGTCATATCCCTGAGGACTGCAATCTGCTGGTGGCCCACAGTTCTGGTGTTCCTTGGTTAGAGTGGAGTGGCTACAGCACCCTCTAGAGGTGAAAGTGTAAAGTCAGTAAGGCAGAGGGTGACTGAACTTCAGAACCATATAGACTTTGATAAAAGAATGGCTTCTTCCCATTTACCAGTTATTGGATCTAATAGGATCTAATAGGATTCACAGTTAGATAACAGGGGCCTGGCACTTCGTGAAAGCTTAGTAAATGATAACCTTTTTTTAATGTGTTACTGTTATTATCACTACTGTTTTAGGTTGCCAAGAGAAATTCAGAAAGTATTTTTCATTTATGTGAAGGCAGAGTTCTTCAATGAGGTGACATCATCTTTGTTGTGGAACATTATTGTCAACTTGGGCTGCCATGATGAAATAGCACAGACAGGTGGCTTAAACAACACAGATGGATTTTCTCATGGCTCTGGAGGCTGGAAGTGCATGATCAGGGTGTCAGTGTGGTTGGGTTCCTCTGAGGACTCTTCCTGACTTGCAGGCAGCTGTCTTCTTGCTATGTCCTCACATGGCATGGAGATAGAAGGGCAGAGGTGGGGAGAGGAGAGAGATGAGAGCACAAGCTCTCTGATGACTCTTCTTGTAAGGGCATGCATCCCACCACAAGGGCTGCATGCTCTTGACCTCATCTAAATATAGTTACCTCCCACATCTCCAGATGCCATCCCAGGGGCAGGGGTTGGGGAGTGGTTAGGGCTTCAACATGTTAATTTCAAAGGAGACAAAATTCAGTCCATAGCATTAGCAATTCTGGTCTCCAGCACTAAATACAAGCAGCAGTACAGTCACCATGACAGCAGAAATGCTGCCTCATTCACAGTTTTCAGAAGCACACACCAGACTGCTGTTTCTGTACTCTGCATTAGTCAGAACCGTGTGTTCCAGTATCAAGAGAAGTAATCAGAACTGCCTCACCCAGCCCCTCTGCCCTTGGAAAGGTAAAGAGCCAAAGAGGGCCACGTGAGCAAGGCAGTGCACTTTCTGTTACATGCTCAGCCCACACTCTGCTTTGCTTTGGGAAGAAATGGATTGCACGGACTCCGTACCCTGAAGTCTTAGAATTTACTTGGGGAGATTAAAAATAATAATGCAAAGCAGAATAAGATTGAGTGACAGCAATGTGTGTTGTGGACTCAAGGATTCAGACAGGACAGCGATTAAAGCTAGCTATAGTTTTGCAAGAGATTTCAGAGATGAGTTGGAAATTGAGCCACTTTGAAAGATGATTGGGAATAGATGATGAAGAGACAAGAAGACTCAGGACTGGGGGATGGCATGGGCAGGAAGATGGAAGTAGAGTTAGCACAGCCTAGATTGGGACAGCCTGAGAAAGTGGCAATGAGAAACAGGCAAGTATAGTTGGTGTCTTTTCCTTTGAGAAAGCTCACTTGACCACTCCCCATCCCACTCCTATGGCCAGCCCCAGCAAGGGGCTGCAGCCTCTTTGTGCATCTGAAGCCCACTGTGTTCCTGGCATGTGAATCTGTTTCTTGTCTCCCTTGCTGTTTGGACTGTATCTTGGTTATCATTGTATCTCCAATATCTAGCACAGGATATGGGATTATTAAAGATGGCAAGTATTGAGTGACTAATTATATGGATTATAAGGATTTGAACTATGAGAATTGTGGGGGGGAAAAATCAGTCATTTCATTAGAGAAAGATTAATGTCTGTCTCCTTGAATGGACTCCTAGCACTTTCAAGATTAATCCCTACAAAGATAGGAGCCCTGGACTTAGAAAAAGGAAATTACACAGAGGGAGGATCCAGAGTCATGATGTAATCCAAAGGAAGTAAGACCATAATTGCTTTTGTGTACAAATCTGACCAAGAAAATTCATGAATATGAAAAGGCTTGAAAAGGAAGGATTTTGAAAGATTGATGGAAGTGGCTGAATGGCTGGCAACGGTCATTCTTCACCTTTTCCCAATCATCTTTCAACAAGTGGCTCAATTTCCAACTCATCCCTGAAGTTTCTTGCAAATCTATCAGTTGACTTTAATCACTGTCCTGTCTGAATTCCTGAGTCCACAACACAAACATCATTACTTACTTTCTCTTTCTACTTTGCATTATTGTTTTTAATCTCCCCAACTGAATTATAAATTTGGGGTTTTAGCAGGAAAATTTGGAGAACACTTAGTTTTTCAAGGTATTTTCTACTTTTTTAATGGCTAAATTAAAATTAATGCATTTTGTGAAATTAATACAAAGATCAGTTTCCTGATGTACATCGGCTTCCTGTGTGTGTGTACATTTCTGTATTAGCATGTTACTTTGGGTAATATAAAAACGTGGTGATGATAGGCTCTTTCCTTAATATTGCCATGAACGTCAAGTTTTTAAAAAAATTTTGTTTATTTGAAAGGCAAATGGAGATAGAAAGAGAGGGGGAGAGGAGAGAGACAAACAGATCTCCCATCTGCTAGTTCATTCCCCCAGAAGCTCATAATAGCTCAAGCAGGGCCAAGCTGAAACCAGGAGTCAGAACTCAACGCAAGTCTACCATGTGAGTGGCAGGGACCCTGATTCTTGAGCTGTCACTACTGCCTCCCAGGATACTCATTAGCAGGAACTTGACATTGTAAGGAGAGCCAGGACTTGAACCCAGACATCCCAATATGAGATACAGATGTCCCAAGCAGTGTCTTATCCACTGCTCCAAATGCTTGCCACAAGGTCTAGTTTCTGAGTGAAGGGGAAACCCTTGTATCCTTCCCCTGTGACCTGTTGGCCACAGAGGTAAATGCTTACTTGTGTTTACCTCGGTTTTTCAGTCAGTTCTGATTCTTTTTTTTATGTTCCATCTTTCTATTCATAAAAATTAGAAGAATAAAAAGCATTGTTGGGTCACCTAGGAAGAAAAAAGCTGTTTTATTTTTGCTGGCATACATGTTTATAAGTCACATTATTTGTTAACACTTTGCAGGCGCTGTTTTGAATTTTTAGACTTGCTTTTACAAGAATGGCAGACACATTCACTGGAACGGTGAGTATCTGATTGGAACCTGTTTTTCCCTCTTAACTCCATCGTGAGCTCGCACGCCTCCACCTTGTGTAAGAAACAAAGTCATCCAGTCATTTGTCTTGGCTGTGTACAGATGGGAGCATGTCGCATGAGCAGGAGCTTTTAGTGAATGTTGTTGATTGAACTGTTAGGCGTGAGCAAGTGTGCCCTATGACAATTGCAGAGCTAGTAGCAACCCTTTATTGACACTGACCCTGCTGCCTCAGATTCCTGTCAGTTCTAACAAGCTGAATGTTTGGAGCTGCCCTTGGTATGCAAGGTGTCATTCTTAAGTCTTTCAAGGGTTTTTACTTATAGTAGTTTTCTCTGTATCTGAGAGTCAGCAACTCCCTCTTTGTTCATTGTACTTTGTGACTGACTTGGCATCATGGGCTTGTGGCAGAATTCTTTTTGTTTTTCTTCATTTTTTAAGAGAGAGAGATAGCGAGCACAGATGTTCCCATCTACTGGTTCACTCACCAAATGCCTGCAATGGCTGAGACTGAGCCAAGACTGAAGCCAGGAGCTGGGGACTCAATACAGATCTCTCACATGGGTGGCAGAAGCCAATTAGTTGAGCAGTCACCACTGTCCTGCATTAGAACCAGGAATCAATCCTGGGTCCTCTGGTATGGGACACAGTTGTCTTAACTGCGAGGCTAGGTACCTCCTCCTGTGACAGAATTCTGGAATGAAAAGGTATGTCTCTCCTAAATTTTGAGATTCCTTCCTAACATTTTCAGTTCATATTAGTTTTTGGTGCTCTTGTTCTGGAGATAGTAAATTATGGTGCTGTGCCCTCATGGCTTTCATGGTGTGGAGTTTGTGAGGAACTTTACAGCATATTAAATATTTGGTAAAGTAGTGGAATTTTAAGCAACAATAATCTTATTCTGTGGAGCAGTGGTCAGAGATGAAACAAAGTCCCCTTCCAGAACTAACATTTCACCTGAAAAATCAATAGTTTGAATGTAGAATACAGTTTCACATTTTCAGATACTTCCTTGTTCTTTAATCTCTTGGATATCATATCTTTATTTGATGAGGAATGGAAAGTGAAATAGGGGGCTTACTGTGGGGACAAGTGAGCAGATGTGGCCTCATGGGCTCATTCACCTTTGTGCTTGGTGCCTGCCACTTACCAGGTGCTCACTGAGTACTAATGAGGCAAGTGCTTTTCAGGGCCTGGTCAGATTGGTCACTGGTGTTTATTGTAGAACTTGTTCAACCCAGTCATTTCCTGTCCTAAAACTGTTAAAATATTCATTTGGACCTTTTGGTGTTTTCTTCTCAGCTACGGTAAAGCATAACCAAGGAAAACACCTATTTATAAAATGGTTATGTGATTTATGAAATTGTTCATGTTAAATAGTAGTAGAACTTCAAAAATTGTTTATTCATTTGTAGTATAGTTGCTTTAAGATTCTTACTACTATCTCACTGTATCCGTAGAAACTAGCTCTGCCCATGGGAAAACAGGGTTTTTGTGTTTATGTTCATACATGATTTAATTAAATACGTATGACCTGAAAAGAAATCAGCTGTTACGTTTTTACAGTCACCCAAGATAGGGCTATCAAGGTCCTGAGGTGAGGGTGGACTGGGAGTGAGGATAGGTACTGGGACAGGATTAGAAGTGAAAGAACCTAACACTTGGGCCCTCCTCGCTGCGTGTGAACTGACTAGCTATGGCACAAAGCTTTTGTGTCCGCATTGCTGTTTTGAACACCAGTTTTCATTCACATGAAACCATGCATTCATAGTTATTATTGTTTTCTTTTCTAAATATCTAGACACATATCAGTATTAGCTGAAACAATAAAGAAAGGAATACATGATGCCGATTCTGAAGCCAGGATAGAAGCCAGAAAGTAAGTTTTTAATCATATAGCACTCTTCTGGAAATTACTTTTGTATTTCACATGCCTTGTATGGACTGCCTTATGAAAAACCCACAGAGTTACTTGAACTTATTTCATTAACCCTAACCTTTAAATGTGACCCCAAAAGACCATTTCAGAATATTTCTCTAATTTTTTTACAAGTGTGATATAGGCAACAAACAGAATGCTTATTTTCAGATATGTGAGCAATTATTACACAGATCAGAACAACACTTGTGTGCATGTTTAATATATTCTTTTATGACTTAATCTCTGTGAAAAGCCACTTTATTGATTTTCCACAAAAAGTCCTGGTCATGGGGAGTGATGGTCATGGGGAATTCTCTCCATGTTGTCAGATCTGTGCAAGCATTGGGTACTGGCTTCGTAAGCGGGGATCCTGGAAGGGGTTGGATTGACCCAGCCAGTACTCTGGACTGCCACAGAGCAAACTTGCTATTTCTAAACAAGATACATTAATCATCTTAGTCTGGGACATTACAGTTTTATTTAGCTGCATTGGTCTATTCTTTTGCAGTATTCTTTAACTGCCTTCACAGTAAATTATGTTCCCTTTGATTCTGAGTTCATTATACCTTTTAAGTCTTACTGCATCTTATCTTGTTAGTTGCTACCAAAGTAAGCGACATAATCAATAATTGCTATAAACTGTTAGGAAAGAATGTGTTAATGACCTATTTACACTGTTTTTTCCTCTTGGATTACTCTCCTTCCACAAGTTTTTCTGTTCTTCAATCATGTAACATAAATTTCAGGTAGCTCTGAACTTCTGCATTTTTGGTACATGTTACCTAAGCAAATTTCAGTAAATAAAATCAGGGAATGTCAAATTGCATTTAAGAGTGCTGCCATTACAGTTTGTCTCACAGTGCTTGAGTATTTAGCTCTGTCTTCCCTAAGCTCCTCAACCTTAAAAGTGAGGGCCCTTCATTCCGATTGTATGAAAGAGTCTGAAGTTCAGAGATGTTTAATGTCTTGCCAGGTCAGTTGTGAGGCCTGGGTTCATACCAAGCCCCTCGCATTTGCCCTCCCTTCATTATTCTGTGCTGCTGATGTTAGCCTGTGAGCTGGGTATTTTGGTTCTCAGAAACATTATGTGCTATACACTGGAGCTCATGAAAGACCTGTTAGATCCATAGACTAGTGAGAGTTTGTGTCTTTCCTAGATGTTACTGGGGTTTCCACAGTCACTTCAGCAGAGAAGCAGAGCACTTATATCACACCTTGGAGTCCTCCTACCAGAAAGCCTTGCAGTCACATCTGAAGAATTCGGACAGCATAGTGTCTCTGCCTCAATCCGACCGCTCATCGTCTAGTTCTCAAGAGAGTCTCAAGTAAGCAACCCCTCCTTGCTCGCCACTATTGTAAGATTCTGTGTCTACAAGTTTGCTGTGTGAAAACAAACTCCAGCTGTGCCTTCACTGCGTGTATCTGTGACTGTTCCCCACTCCCCAACCCCTGCCTTTGTTCAGGTCAGTTTTGGTGCTAGATCAGGTACCCTGGGGAACCAGTGTCCTTCGCGTAAGTGGTTTTCAGTTAACTTTAGTCCTGGAATGCAGTTTTAGAATATTGGAAATGTACCGCAGAGCAGGACGAGTTAGACACATTGATGCTACAGAGTCCTCTGGGAGGATGTAAGGGTGGCCTGGAGCCAGGCGTGGGAAGGAAAGGCATTCAAACCCAGGACCTGACAGCACCATCTTTGCTCTGTATTTCTCATCTCCGTCTCTGCTTAATATTTTGCTCTTTGTGCTTGAAAGGTAGTCCAAGATAAAGCACTAGAGCTTTGTCAGAAATTGGGGGTTATAAGATTAGGTCTGAATTGCCTTAATAATTCTGCAGTAATTCTACTTAATTTCCTACTGTGGTTTGTACTGTTATTAATGTGGGTAAAGAACACATTTAATAATATATGTATTTATACCTTTATTTTTAGTCGGCCACTCTCTGCCAAAAGAAGTCCAACTGGAAGCACCACATCGAGAGGTGAGTCTAACGGCCATGGAGGAAGCATCATACAAGGCTTGTTCTCAGCCTTCTCTCACCCCCTTCCCGATGTGAGCAGTGTGCCCCTCTGCTGCCAGTCCCTGCTGGGGCTGAAATAGGCAGGCCCTTTCTCCCCGCTTCCTACTGCCAATGTGTCAGTGCTGCCGGTTGTGTGGCTTCTTCTCTGCTCACCGGACAATCCAGGGAGACAGCTGGTGGTGCTTGTGCAGTGGCGGAGGCTTCTGGAGATGGGAGAAGGGCATGTTTCCTGGGAGGGGAGAGCTGTATGGTAATCAGAGTCCTGAGGAGACCTGCCAGACAGGAGTGGTTTCTTATGATTTCGCTTCTTCTTGTGGTGAAAGAAATATGGTCCATTTCTGAGGTGTCTGGTCTCCAGTGATACGAAAACAAATGGGCCTCAGTTCAAGTCATGTTTAGTTTCCTTCTGAACTCTATCTCAAGTGACCAGGAGAAGCTCTTGGTCAGTGCTGTGCACCCAACATTTGCTAAAACTCAACGTTTGTTTTCCAGAAAAGCAAAACAACTTGGGGTTTTAACAGTGCACATTTACAATTCCGTGTAGTGCTTACTTACATTTTCCTTCTTCCCCACAAAAGCTTCCACAGTCAGTACCAAGTCTGTGTCGGCCACGGGATCCCTGCAGCGGTCTCGAAGTGACATCGACGTGAATGCCGCAGCCAGTGCCAAATCCAAAGTCTCCTCATCTTCTGGCAGCACGCCGTTCAGCTCAGCAGCGGCTTTGCCTCCAGGGTCGTACGCATCCCTAGGTAACCAGACCCCCCCATCCCCCACCCTATCCTCCTGCCCCACTGTTCGAGGCGACCCTTGGCTCTTAGCACATTTCCAAAAGCCATAGTTGAGGAAGACCTCCCTGCCGCGGGGCTGGTAGTTAAGTGTCCGTCACGGTGTGCACTTGCAGCTCCCTTTATTGAGTGTCCCCTTTTCTCTGGAGCGCCATCCTTTCAGTGATGAGTAAGTACCCTCGTGCTTGCATGGCATGTGGCCCTACCTAGCACCTCCTTCCCCCAGCTCACCACCTCCTCCTCACTGGCAAACCCAGCCAGTATGCCTAGCCACTTCCCAAAGTGTCAAATCTGGGTTTTTCTCCAGAAAGGATTTAGTGGGGGATTCACCAGAGGTTGAATTATAGTTAGGTGTTTCTCAGTTTGAGAATATAACCAGAGTGTGGAAGGAGCTGGGGCTGGGCATGGACTCCCTTTCCACAAGTCACCTGGGGAGGGGCATGCCATTGCTCTGATGGTTGCCTACAAGCTTTTTTTTTTAAAGTTATGTGAAAAATTTTTGGGATCCTTCATAGCAGTGGGTCACGTACTTGTTTTTTCAGCAGACACTTAATACCTACTATGTGTAAGACTTATCATTTCTTTCATTTTATTTTTCTGAGAGCCAAGTCATTCAAAGCCAAAATCTGGGGGTTTGGCTGGATTGGCTGTCTGCTGGATTTTAAGGAAATGCATAAAATTTAAACGTTGTGCAGTGTTGAGATGATGTTACTTACGTGGTTTACAGATTCCTAAGTCAGTTTTAAAACTAAAGCTTTGAAAGCATTTTGGACACTGGCAGTGGAGTGGGAACAGCACCCGGAAAACAGGTGCACGATCTGCTGTTTACCAGCTCTGTGACCTTGAGTAGGCTCTAGAATCTTTGAGTCTGACTTCCCTATTCATAAATCACCTGCAGTGTCAGCCCCCTACTCAGAAATGTAATGAGGACGAATGAAGACGAAAGAAAGCATGAGTGTGGTAGGCACGTTATTAATTGGAAAGATAAATGTTCTGAAATATTTATTCAATCAGTCTTTTTGTTTTCTCTGTGGAAATACCTCTTAGACATATATTTTGATTACAAAGTAACCCAGTAGCTCACTTTATTTACTATTCTAACTATTGCCTGTCTTGTAGGAGTGCTTGATGTTATACTGACAAGTCATCATTGAGTAAGGGAGAGGTAGTTACTTCCTCCTAGGGTGAATAGGTTTGTTAACTTTAGTTCAGTTTTTAGCAACTCACCTATGTTTCCACACGTTTGATTCCACTTTACTATTTGTAGTTAGTGTTTGTTTCATGCAGTGCACTCCGCTGGACAACCAGCCTTCAGAATCCTCAGTAGTCTTGACTGTCCCCTGTGCATGTTTGGGAATGTTTGGATGTGGACCCTGCAGACTTCCCATGGTGCTAGTAAAGCCCCCAGGCCCTTTGATCTGATGATAAAGAAAGGACCCTTCAGAAGTCCTGACAACTTTTCAGCCCAATGCTGCCTCTTCAAAGAACAAAAGAAAAGTGTTCAGGGTCTCGTAACCATTTCCTGAGAACCCTTCCTCTGCTTTCCTTGATGTATCTTAAAACAAAACCAATGCCCTTCCCCCTCCTCCCCCTCCACCCACACTGAAATATTTGTTATGATTCTTCACATGACACCTGTATAAGAGAGTAGCACTAAAGCTGATGATCCTTTTCCAAACTTCTAGAATCCAGACACATGAGGGAAGACATGGAGTACATAGGCCTGGACGCAGGTATCTGCTCAACAGCTTCTGCTGCTGGACCTGTAGTGGGATAGGCCTTGCTGCAGCTAGCTTCTCTGAGCTTCCTACTCGCCTCTGCCCTCTGGGTGACTCTTTAGTATTTTAAGTTTTAGTCTCCACCCCCCACTATCCCTTCTGCTGGTACTTTCTTCTGAAAAACAAACAAACAAACAAACCAAAAAAAAAAAACAAAAAAACCCAACTCTTAAGAACATGAGGGTTGGCTGAAACAAAAGGCAGCCATCTCTCTCTGAGCCGCAGCACTGCCCTGGGTTGACCATCATGCTTCGTTTTCCAGAAGCAAAACCATTTCTACTCGTCTTATGCTGAGCTAATTTCGGTATGAGACGCACTTACTTCACACTCTTGCTTTGCTTTTTTTAGTAGCTAATAACATTCTGCTTTTTTAATTTTTTGAATGTTACTAACTGTTCCCTGTTATCCCTTCCCTTGTTTTTTAATTTGCTTAAAGATGGTACTGCCACTAAAGCGGAGGGTAAGCGGTTTGTTTCTTGACTGAGGTGTGTCTCACTTTCTCTGCTCCTCTGTTCTCACCGAGTGTTGCCCAGTGCCCACTTGTCCTCCCGAGGTCCCTGCATGCAGTGTTGCATGCTGTTTCCCCTCCTCTCTTCTTCATTCTGTCTCCACTGGAGGTTTGCTGGCCTCTGCCTCAGCTCTCCTCTGCCTTTCTTGTCCAGTCTCTGTTCTTGTGAGTTTTGGCCTTGACGTATGCTGTGCGTGGTTTTCAGTGCTGAGCCCACACTCTGGGAGGAGCATTGATGTCACCTTGTGAGCTACTGTCCCTGTGGCCGCCTGACTTGGTGTTTCTGCTCCTGCAGCACCACTGTAGCTTTGGTTTCCCTCTTTACTGTTGTGCTTGTGTGGGCCTCAAGATTTGCTTTTCCTGTTTTCAAAATGAATTTCAATGTCAACTGTTCAGATCAAAGACTGGTAAAATTTTCTACCAAGTAATTTAAAGAAATTTTTACAGATATTTTACTCTTCCCTAAAGGTACAACTGATTTATACAATACCATTTTTATTTGTATTGTTGACATGAGCCCCATTCATTCATTTACACTTACTCATCAACTGTGTGTTAAATGCCTTCCAGGTGCCGTGTTTGTACTGTACCCCAAGGATATAGCATGGTGAAAGAAAGAATTTGGATATCCAAATCCACTGTATTGTCTTTTTATGACAGTCTCAAGAAGCCCTTTCTGACTTTGCATTGCTTTTTGCATTCTGGTCATAGTCATTTCTGTCTGTGTAGATTTTTGATTAGCACATGCTACACAAGCTCATCACTTTGCCAAGTCTCTTCATAGAAAACGTGATGCTGCTTCGAAGAAGTGAAATTTAGAGGAACTCCGCCGCTTCACATAGTGGCATAGACCCTCCAGACCTCAGCACAATGACTTAACAGTTAGCCATCGTATGGGGCTAGCCTTAGTACAGGAGACTGGGTTTTAGTTTGATATGCATAGTTTGATTATTTTTCTCCATATGCTACTTCCCAAGACCCATAAAGGGAAAAAAAAATAGGAATGAGAATTTAAACTCATTAATTTAAACGCGTAGTCCCCGAATCAGTGTTTTTCAAACTTATCTCCTTATTAGCTTTGCCTCAACACTCACTAAAAACAAACAGCCATGCATCTTTTCCCTGAAGATGCTCATTACTTGCCAAAATGCAAAGGTGGACAAAGATCCTCGGTCCTCATTTGTGAAAGCAGAAGGCTGAGGCTGATGTGATTGCAAAATTGGCTGCTGGTTTTTTGTGCTCTTTGGCTCGTATGAGTAAAAATTGTGTTTCCTCAGCCTAGAGGAAGGGAAGAGGATTGGGCGACTGGCATGGAATAACACAGATGGAATGGAAAGCAAACACATCATATGAGAAATTAATTTTTTTTCGAGAATGCCCTGATTTTATATGCCTATATAGTAAAATTGAAATCAGCCTGTTCTTTTAGCTGTAGGAAATTTTCTCACTTTTGTTGTTGTTGATATCAGTTCCACAGTCATAAATAAGGTCAGAATTGCACTCTGAATCATGCAGCCGTCTAAGTCTCGCTGGTTCTCTGGCAGGAGAAATGGTGGGATGATCTGTAGGTCCCTAACATTACTGAGAGCCAGATCAGATGATGGGGAAGCCATGTTGGAGAAATACCATGAGTGTCATATCTGTGCCAGGATGGTGCAGGCCACAGTACCACTGGCCCCTGTGGCCCACATGATGATGGAGCAATAGGAGAAACATCCCTGGAGACCTGTCGACGTGACACTTTCAGGCTGTCACTGTTCTGTTGGCTCCAGCAGTGAAACTCAGAGGACCAGTGATGTTGGAAAAGCTGCCAATAGTTATTAGAAAAAGACCACGGGGTATATTATTTAGTGCCTGTTTCCCATTTGCATTTTTGGATTATCATGGGCCTTTTGAAAATTTATCAGTGAGTCTGTTAAATTGCTGTCCTGAAACAAGGAGAAGTAAGTACTTTTATCATTATTAGGCAAATGATATGATTTTGAATCAATAGATGCTCTAAATTAAAAATTCTGGCATCGATGTAGTAACTGAGAAAAGTATGTATAATGCGTTAGGAATTCCTTGTACATATGAAGGAACTCTTCTAACATTAGTGACTGGTTAGAAAATAGCTTATGAAATAACCAAAACTTCAACTTTGGGACAAAAATTTATTTCCAGGTTGTTTTTCAGTATGTTATGTTCAGTGATTTTTGAGATTTAGATGAAGGAAATACTGACATAGTCTACTATCTTGCTCATGAGAAAGTTTAATTATATAAAGTATGTGCTAAATGAATATACTCAAACTTTTTTAAAAAAAAGATTTATTTATATAAAAGGGAGAGTTATGGGGGGAAGATGGGGGAGGGAGGGAGGGAAGGAGGCAGGAAGAGAGAGAGAGAGAGCGCGCGCGAGTGTGAGCGAGCAAAGCTGGTCTATCCACTGGTTCACTGCTTTCCCAGGTGCAACAGCAGGGAACTGGATTGAAATTAGAGCAGCCAGGACTCAAACCAGTGCTTATAAGGGATGCTGTGCCACCAATGCCAACTCCTCTTTTTTTTTTTTTTCTAAGATTTATTCATTTATTTGAATAAATAGAGTTACAGAGAGAGAGAGAGATAGAGTGAGCTGCCATCTGCTAGTTCACTCCCCCAAAGGCCACAATAGCCAGAACTGGGCCAATCCAAAGCCAGGAGCCAAGAACTTCTTCCGGATCTCCCACACAGGCGGTGCAGGTGTCCAAGGACTTAGACTATCCTCTAATGCTTTCCCAGGCCAGAGCAGAGAGCTGGATTGGAAGTGGAGCAGCTGGGTCTAGAACCAGTGCCCATATGGGAAGCTGGCACTGCAGGCAGTGGCTTTACTCACTGTGTCACAGTGCTGACCCCTCTTTCTTTCTTTCTTTCTTTTTTTTTTTTTTTTTTTTTTTTATATTATTATCGAATGGCCTTTGGGTGTACAGCTTCCTGTCATACGAAGTTGTAATCAAAGGCCATGCCAAGTAAACTTTTGGTGACTTTGATTATGAGGTTAAAACTCTAGTCTGCTCTTCAGGAAAAAGAACTTAGATTTTCATTAAATTTTACTGAGATATAAAACATTAATGCTATCTATTTATGTAAGACCTGAATTTTGAGTAACTGGCTGTTTTACTCACACCATGGAAAGAAAAAAATGTACATGTTGTCCGTAGAAAGAAGTAAAGGATTGTTGGACTTCTTTTATATCTTTTAAGACAAAGGAAATTGGCCGGCACCGCTGCTCACTAGGCTAATCCTCCACCTGCGGCACCGGCACTCCAGGTTCTAGTCCTGGTTGGGGTGCCGGTTCTGTCCCGGTTTCTCCTCTTCCAGTCCAGCTCTCTGCTGTGGCCCGGGAGTACAGTGGAGGATGGCCCAGGTGCTTGGGCCCTGCACCTGCATGGGAGAGGAGGAGGAAGCACCTGGCTCCTGGCTTCGGATCAGCGCAGCATGCTGGCCATAGCAGCCATTTGGGGGATGAACCAATGGAAGGAAGACCTTTCTCTCTGTCTTTCTCTCTCTCACTGTCTAACTCTACCTGTCAAAAAAAAAAAAAAAGGAAATTAATTGTTTGAGTGGGGAGTTGTTACAGGCAGCAAAATTTACCAGTGATCAAATTCTCAAATTTTGGTTCTATCAGAGATGCCATTTACCAGTACAGGTTGCTTTTTAATTTTTATAATCTGCAAATTGGACAGTTGTTTAAAAGATATTGAACATGTGGAAGACAAAAACTCTAGTGACATGAGTCCATCCAGTGCTTTTTCATTTGCCTTATTCTACCTTCCAAGGTAGGGAAACCTTGCCTGCAAATTAAACCTGTGCATAGCCTTTATCTCCCCTCTTGATGGTCTTTCTGGAAGAAGGACAGTGTGACTGAGAAAGGAACTTTGGCAAAGGAAGTTAAGATGCCATGGGATGCGGATGTTTTTCCTTTATGCCATGAAGTTGGAGGCTTTGTTCTTTTTCTGTTTGCTTGTTTTCCTTGGGTGTGCTGTTCCCTGGTGAGGTTCATTTGTTTGTTGATGCATCTCTTGTCCCTCCTCTCATCACTTTTTTTTTGTCCTGTTGTATAATTATCTATTTCTTTTCTTTATGTCTTTTCCTTATGCTGGCTTTTTTTTTCTTCTTTTACATCTATTTTCTCTGTCACTTAATAAATCATAATATTGAACTGAAATATATTCTTACTATTTGTGCATTTATTGAATAGCTTTCTTTTTCCTAAAGACCACAGAGCATTTTATATCATCTCTGTAAAATACATACAGGCACTTACAGTAATACTGCCTTCTCAATAGAGTAGAAACAAAACAAAAACTGCCTCTCCCTGTAAGGTGAATAGAATATTTATCCAAGTGTAGCACAACGGAGGTCCTTTAAAATTGCATAGCTTCATGCCCAAAAAAGTAACAAACATTTAAAACCAACAAGAACATTGAAAACTGGAGTGACCATCTTGAACTTATTTTTAGGGCAGCCAGAAAGCAAGATGTTGAGCTCACCCAGGGGCAAGTTGAAAGTTGGCATAAGCCAGCATTATCGAAGGGCTGTGGATCCGCAGAAAGGTGGACAGGTGGGGAAAAAAATAACTTTTATCATTGTATTGACATCATGTATGTCTTCACTTTGACTTGGACAGAGGGTAAAAGATTCCTAATATTTGTGACTAGTTCTCTGGGTGAGTACACCTAACTTGTGGCTTCAGTTTTCATTACCTGTGGTGTCTGGGAAACCCCCAAGCTGATGAATTAAAGTGATATGTGCTTGTTGCCCCCAGAGGTGCTTGACAAGAGCAGACATTTAACTTCTGCAAGATTCCCACAGATTAAAGTCAGCCAAGTACAAGCTCATAATCTAGTTAATATTTTAATGTGAAATGAATTAACATTTTCATTTCCATTTGTTCTTTTTCGAAATGTGCTTAGTCATTCTTAATAGTCTGTT